TTGGTTCACCAGTGAGTATGCGCACATGGTGCATTTTTAGATTAAATGTGGGATCATTTCTCGGCTCCCTTACGAGGACGGCGATTGCGCGGGTGTCAGTAATTAATTATTCACGCTCTTCTACTCCACCACGACAATGTCAACGACAGGCAGAAAGATTCCAGAACCAATAACTGAAGCGGTAACTTGTTTAGTCTAGCTAAACTTTTATTATGAACAAAATATATATATAGGTCTTTTACCTATCGCACTTAGACATAAACAGTACTCGTATAAACAAACCTTTAAGAGGTAGGTGCTCAACCCGTAATCTTATACTGTGACCTATCAGTAGTGCTCCGAATTTCGGTGCATCACAGATGTGGCATTATGACGGATAAATACTAACTGCTCCGAATCTCGGCGCATTATCTCCGTCTCCGAATATAGTAACCTACGGGAACAGAGCTGCTCCGAATCTCGGCGCACAATCTCTGTCTCCGAATTGCTTAACCTACGGGAACAGAGCTGCTCGAATCTCGCGCACAATCTCTGTCTCCGAATACACGTAAACTACGGGAACAGAGCTGCTCCGAATCTCGGCGCACAATCTCTGTCTCCGAATACACGTAAACTACGGGAACAGAGCTGCTCCGAATCTCGGCGCACAATCTCTGTCTCCGAATACACGTAAACTACGGGAACAGAGCTGCTCGAATCTCGGCGCACAATCTCTGTCTCCGAATACACGTAAACTACGCACACGCACTCCGACACCAAGGCCTAATGATAGCTCCGAATAGCCTGGTTTCCTTCTTGTCCTATCCTGAGGTCCTAGTGAACCAGTCTGGTGACTGACTGACTTTACCATGGATCTTGGCCGTTATATAGGAGCCCGCGGTGACGTAGGATACGGCGGCGCCTCCCTGTCCGGTGCCGGTGTCAGAAATGATGGACTACGTCGGGTGCCTGGCCGTTGTCCCCCCCTCGCTTAACACGTGTACAGGTGATGCAACCCCCTTGGTTGAGTATACGCACGAGCGTCGTACCCCCTTGTCTGCCACGTGCTTGCTGGCGCCACTCTCTCGCCCGCGTGTACGTGAGGGTGCCATTCTCTGACCTCCCATAGCTGGTAGCTATTTCCTTTATGTAAATCTATCAAAGCTATTTTTATAGCACCGAGAAATATAGCATATCACATGTTGATATCTTTTAGGAGTTTTAATACTGACAAATACACCTGTACATACACCTCTCTATAGCACCTGTTTGTACTTATCATGATGATATTACGATTCATTCCACCGCTCTCAGGTACATAGATAGAACGCGCACACTTCTGTTGCACACTCTTTCGGTAAATGACAGTTTTCTATTGCTTAGGTACGAGCATAGAGAGAGCGGATACTAGCTCCGTACATTTTTTTTACCACTACAATATAACAGTTGGGTACCCCGGTTACTCTGACAACTTGCATAAAGCGCAGGGGCGTCGTTTCGCCAAAGTACTAGTTGTGAGTTTTTGTTTTCGAGGCAGGTACTATTATCGCGCTCACATACAGCGTTGCGGTGCACTTGCGGGTATCTCGAATAAGGTTTCCGAGCGCTGAGACGGTCACAGATCGAAGCCAAGGCACCTATTGGAGCGTTCAATAAAATATATGCTAAAGAAATACGAAATCTACTTGAATACCAAAAGTCTTATGTTTCTATACTCGTCTCGTCCACTGATTGTTTGCCGCTTACTACTTATAAGCCTTGGCTGTTGGGGCCTCTGCTTCTCATAGTGCCCTCCACACAACAGGCATTAATGTTTTTGTGCATCACATGACTATGCAATCTTACTTTTCATGCTTATAATTACCTTCATTATACTCCCCCTGAATTTTGCCGGTGCATCGATGTAACAAAACGCTTCGACACAAACACAACGCGTTCGAAAATCTTGCATGGCGCCCAGACGCAAGGAGATTCGTTGACGTGAAACGACAATGCGTTATAAAACAATGCGCTCGCGCCAAGCGCCGATAGTTGCCGCCTCAGGCGGCCACTCATCGTTCATAGTGCCTGCTGGCGTTATCCAATGAGCATTTCAACGATTTATCACGCTCATGCACTAAGTTTCCTGTAAATCGCTAGTCAAATTGGTCATCTGCGCAAACAAACGCTGGTTGCCCGCCGATGGGCCTGCCCTCGCTGCACACTGACACATAAATATAGTAGGGTGTGTATTAATTCATGCACAACGTGGAGAGTAATTGTAGTAGGAGTACTGCCTACTGGTACTAGTACTACAGTAGTAGTACTAGTAGTAGTATTGTAGGGTGTCATTTTCCCCCGGGCGTAGAGGGAGGGTGCCGCTACGTGGCAGCACTAATGTTAGGGTTAGGGTCAGGGTTAGGGTTAGGATTCGGGTTAGGGTGAAAGTGACACCCGTAATTGTAATTTGTAGTACTACTAAGTTACCCTACTACTAGTAGTAGTAGTAGTAGTAGGCCCGTTTATGGCACTAGTGTGTGCAGGTCTGAGCAGGGTTAGTAGCCGTGGTTGTATTGTTTCAGAGAGCATGCAGCTGAACTAGGAAATCCAGTGCCGACTGAGCCTTTACTCTTTAGCAAGCCAACGACTGCATACATACGTGAAGGTCAAAATATACAGGTCAGTATAAATTATAAATTATGGCATGCGTGGCAGGAGACATGAATTCAGAAACCTAAGAAATTTATTATGCTCAATTTTAACAGTTCTACCTTTTGGCTGTGTTTTCTAGATTCCACGAGGTTGTTCTAGTCTTCACCACGAGGTGGAGCTAGGTGTTGTTATAGGAAAGACTGGGAAAAACATTCATCCAGGTAAGTAGCAGAAATATCATCATTACGCACCAATATTCATTATTCGTGTAATCCTATACGTATGATTTATTAATGCATTCTTTATTATTATTATCATTATTATATGTGTTTTCTAGGTAGAGCCATGAACCACGTTGGAGGGTACGTGCTTGCGTTGGACATGACCGCTCGTGACCTACAGGCTAAGGCGAAGAAGAAGGGTCATCCCTGGTTAATCGCAAAGGGTTTCGACACCTCGTGTCCCGTCAGCGAATTCATCCCGTTGAAGATGATCCCGGATCCAAACAGTGTGCAGCTGTGGCTCAAAGTGAACGGCGCTACGCGACAGGACGGCACGACGGCCGACATGATCTTCGGGATTGCCGAGCTGCTGAGCTACATCAGCACGTACTTCACGCTGGAGGAGGGAGATCTCGTTCTGACGGGAACCCCGAGCGGGGTCGGCGAGGTCGTGGAGGGCGACGTCATCACGTGCGGACTGGGGAACCTCGCCGAGATGTCGTTCAGCGTAGAGAATCCGCACAAACGCGACAGGATACAGTTGTCCTCGGTCGATTAACACGTTGGGCTAGTAGGAGTTATGATATTGGACCTGTGATAGTTTTAGTAATGTTGGGGTAATGTACCTAAAATGAGTCAGTCGTTTGTAAATGTATATTGTTTTGTTATTATTGTTGCTAATATTCAATTTACTGTTAAACAGTAATTAAACATTTTATAACGATATAATAATAAAAAGGTACTCCTAGCTTATTGGAAGATATTATTTGAAATGTTTTAATTGTTTTATACACGTGTTTTGTGAAGTTTTTTATTTCAGACAAAACCCTGTAGCCCTAGTAATCTGATGATCAAATTTCCCTCTAGATTTGTCATGTATTTTGTAAGACCGCCCAAAGCAAATCTGCACAGACTAGTTAACCAAAAGTAGATATTCAAACAGTGTCATGAGCCCACTGTGGATGAGTACCTGCATAGTTATATTTATCACATAACATAATCTACACTAAAACAGTGCAAACGATATGTTCACGATTCCTGTACTGCCCCCTGTAGGAAATAATAACTAAAACCAATACAAATAACTAACTAATCGAGCTAGATTTGTACGGTTTCACATAACTTCATACAGCTGTCATACGTAAATGCATATTTCACATACAGTAGTAACTGTATATATATATCAGATTTTTGACGTATCAGTATAATACTGACCCTTGTAGCTGTAGGGTATAACATGCATCTTCATCATATTACATCATGCAAGTTTTTGTTAAGTGGTCATATAGTATGCAATACTTGTCATGTCTATAGTCTATACTCTATACCATTATATTCTACTCTGTGTGAACCCTGTTCGTGCAGTACATTTGGCTATATTACACCTCTTGTTGATAGACATTGAGGGGATTAAGTGACAAATCTGTATGTCTTGGAAATCAGTAAATTTGAAACCTATGCCATATTTAAGCATGGTACGGGTATTATTGTGAAATCTGTGCTTTGTATTGAGATTCTAGAACGATATTGCATTGAAGAGGTCATTGTTTGACAGGTTTACAGTAAATTTTCTGCTTTAATAAATTTAACAATAAATCATAAAATTCACAATGTCAAATGATGACATCTAATATAATGGCATTAACATTATTTTAAAAGATAAACAGCAAAAACGGCATCCTTTGTAAAGATGAAGTCCTTTGTCACAGAGAGTACATATAAATTTTACAAACAACACAATCATGGCGAGTCGTGTGGCCATGTCCGTCACGACTTTGTTTTCGGCGTTGGCTTGAACAGCTCACGAATCTTAGAGTTGTATCCTTCCCGATTCCTTGCAATCTCCACAGCAAAGAATTGAATCCTCGTCACTGCAACAATAAAACGTGTAAATACGGAGCGCAGAAAACCTGCTCAAAATCTTTACATAGTCCGTACAGGTTTGACTATTATTTACTTGTGAGTTTAGCCTTATAATACACTGCAGGGGGCAGCACCGCACACGTGTACAGCATCAAACCCCACAGCAATGACATGAAGGCGATGGTGATGGAGCGGACGAAGATGACAACTGCCTCGTTCCACTCACCAAAGCGACTGTGATGTGGTTGCGTAAGGAATATCACACAATCACAGCCACCTTGGCGCGAGGATCGAGCATTCAGGTTTCCTCCATCAGCCTTGCTTCTGAGATCCATATCCTCAAGAGTCAATAAATAGCTTGCAATTGGTGCTATCTAAGTTGATATTTTTCAAGTAAATGATTTTACATGATGAAATTATCTTTAACTTTTGAGGCAGCTTGCCTCCTTTGAATTACTACAACTAGTTGGTAGCCAAGCCCAGTTCTAGGTAGCTTAGTTTTAGTATGTCTTGACATACTATACAGAATTATTAGCAGTTGACCAAAACAATTAACAAATCACATGAATTACAATTATACGGTTATACAGGTTAAACCTCACCATTCGGTAATATGATGGTTCAGAACAATAATTTGTACCTGGGGATCGTGTTTTCGTGACACAACGCAGAAAACTCACACAATGTTGGAGTAAACGTATGCTATAACACTATGACATAATGAAGCATGGCCTTGTTTTATGCTAACTTATATCAGAACCAGTAGCAATGCACTATATACATTATTTTGGCTTTACCTCAGGTTCGATCATTTGGAACTTTCACTAATGCAGAACTGGTTTAGTCCCAAGCTGTACAGATTATCGCGGTCCAACCTCTATATATACATATACAAGTAAATAACCTCTACCACCAACCATTTATCACCTTATTTCGTGGAACAAGCAAAATTATAACATTGTATCCGGTGACCTACCCAGAATGGAGTTTTTCTCAGAATAGTCTGACGTGCTGTCTAGTCGTAGCAGAGTACCAAAGTTGAAGTCCTGAATTTTGTCTTCATAGTAATTGCAGAAAGGTCTCCATTTCTGGAAGTGTAAGAAAACAATAATGAATTCCATGTGTTACAGAATATGCTTAATACATTTATGATGCATCAAATACAAAGCGACAAGAATCTTACATGTGTGTAAATGAACAGGAATACAGAAAAATTATAGGAAGACAATCTGGAATAAAATGATATTCATATTAGCTGTCCTAAAAATTATAATTATCAAAGCTAATCAATGCTAGGTCAATGCTTAAGTCTGTGCAGTTATGATTGTGCATTTAGCAAGTACACAACATTTATCCATCTTTGTGAAGTTAGCTAGTAAAACCTGCATCACCAAAATGTCTGTGATATGAAATGTGAAAAACCAAATCACAGATATTCTGGCCACCAAGGTAACACTAGTATCATCCCTTCATCCTGCAGGCCACTTATGTAAAATTGACAGCAAAACATCAGCAGCAACACTAATTTTGGTAAATCAATTAAAAATTCTGTGTAGCAAAAAACAACAACCATATACTGCTTAAAAGATTATTGTAACCTACATCGGCTATTAGCATATCCTACATCACCAAAGGGTCTGTGATATGAATTGAAAGCAAATCACGAGAAGCTTTGGCCACTAAGGCTAATTGCTAAGTTGAATAATCAAACGTTCATCTTCAGTGAAGTTTCCCTTTACATCAGTGTTTCAATGGTGCCAAGCTTTACCTGCATCACCAAAGGGTCTGTGATATGAATTGAAAGCAAATCACGAGAAGCTTTGGCCACTAAGGCTAATTGCTAAGTTGAATAATCAAACGTTCATCTTCAGTGAAGTTTCCCTTTACATCAGTGTTTCAATGATGCCAAGCTTTACCTGCATCACCAAAGGGCCTGTGATATGATTGCTTATCGACAATTCACAGGCACTTTGGCCATAAAGGTAACAGCCAGTAGTTCTCTCATGCACGAACATACATGCGTTGCAATGAACAAGACCCAATCTGCTGTCTAGCGTATTACCTGCATCACCAAAGGGCCTGTGATATGAACATCATAACAACAAATCACTGACGCTTTGGCTACACAGGTGAATACAGATATATACAGGAACTCCATGGGGGAAAATGCAACAAAGTACAATCTATACGCTGCCTGATGACACTTGCAATTCCTGCATCACCAAAGGTGCCTGTGATATGAACGTGGCTTCAACAAATCACAGGCACAATGGCCACGAAGGAAAGTGCACAACTCTGATCTTGAACATTTCTTTGTGATTGCACCCCTGCATGATGGAAACACTGATGTATAACGTACACACAGCACCCTCTCACTCGATCACACGAAGAGCATTAGAATCGCTCTGCATCACCAAAGAGCCTGTGATATGAATGTGAAATCAACAAATCACAGCAACTCTAGCGATACAGACCGTTCCGTTAAAACATCGTCCACATGAAATAACTGCTGACTAAATAAATTCACGGTGGGTTTCCCCATCACCAGCATCACCAAAGGGCCTGTGATATGAGCAAACATGACAAATCACAGACGCTCTGGCCACACAAGTGTAGGAGTTCATGCTTCATCAGTCAATCACCAATAACACGGAACATTCACTAACTGTCTTCCACGAAATCAATCTAAACTCGACAACCGAAATGAAGTAAAGAAACAAAGGATGCTAACGAAAATCATGACACTGCCATTTTCCACCACTCTGTAATAGCAAGAATTCCACTGCAGAGCCGAGGGCTAATTGTTTACATGCTTACCTCCTTAGCCTCTGCAGATTTTAATTCATCTTCTTGCAACCTGCCCACGTTTAGATCAGGGAAGGTCTCCCTCAATTTCGTGTAAACATCGTCGTCATGAGGCGTCAAACGAAGCAATTTCGGATCTACGGCACACAGTAACTGCAATAAACACAACAATGTTACAATATTCATACATTGTGTCTCTATGTATATCTAACACACCTGCACAAGTCTCTCAAGTCAATGTGCCATATGTATTAACATCTATGCAACAGTTGTATACAACGTATAGTGCATTTCTTTCACACAGTAATACAGTATGCATATAACTTAGTTTAAAATGACAGATATAAGAAGGTCTATAAGTACAAATTTGAGCTAATAAAAATAGATGAAAAACATATAGACTTACGTTGAAGTATGTCTCTGCATGTTCGTATGCCTTCATGGCCCACTCCATCTCAAGCTCTGGCTAAAATTGCACACACACATACAGTCAGTCAGCTGTCCCATAGCAGGAATCATACTTGTTGCAGGTACCATACTCACCTTCAGCACTGACAAATGTGACTGCTGCCAAATCATGTGAGGAGGCTTATTTATGGGGCAAGGTCACGCGTGGCCGGCTTCCCAGACCAGCCTGTACTAATTCTGCACTGATTTCAGTAAAAACAACTGTGAAACAATACCCCTAGACCCAGCACATCACAGCTAACCCCAGAGTGTCTGGTAGCAATTAGATGTCTTGGTGATAATGAACTGTTGAGGCTATTGTGCTTAGCTTGTTTAGCAAGCTCTACTACCAGATAACAACAGCACATTAGTCGTAATTAATGACATAGTTACTCCAACAATAGAAAAGAAACTGGTAACAGCCAGGTGGGATCAAGGAAACATCCTAGCCCTGAGAAAGACATTTGTTTGCTTGGGAATGTATCTAGGAGACTTGAACCTAGGTGTCTAACCTAGGTCTAACCTAGGTACTTGAGAAAGTTTTACTTGGCTGGGGGAAGTGTTGTGTACAATATTGAACAAAAAAGCAACATAATTATATGATAATAATAATAGACCCTGACATTCCGTAAGTTCTGGGGTATATTTTGTCTACAACCTTACAAAATATTTATGTATAACAGAATACTATTATGATAGTAAATTGGTGAATATTACATACACACATAAAAGGAATGGTGTTTAAATATATAAAAATATATATTATGGCAGAGATATGCTAGTAAAAAACATTTACATAGTAATAAATATTGTATGTGTATTCATTTCAACATATTTAGAATTTATATTATCAGTAGATAGTCTAAACATAAAGGTCACTAACCTGGTTAATGTAAGACTCAGCTGGAGCAGATAATGCACTCGCAGCACCCATCACTCCTTCCACTCCCTGAAACATAAAAGTGTGCATAGTTATTAGAAACCATCTACTATAGTTATACATTACCTGTAACAACATCTATATAATAGTACTTGTAACATGGTTCCTATCACAAGAAAACGTACAGTAATTTAATGGCTGTTATTTTTACAAATATGGAATAATTAAAGTTTAATTACAAATTATTTAAACGGCCAGTGCCTCGATTTTACAGAAACCAAAGGCAAAACTAATACAACCTTGTTAAAACATTGATAACATATGCTTTGAGCCTTTGTTATCATATATTTATTTACCGTTAAGCATTTTTGACCCAACACAAACTCTGCCTATTATCTCTTCAGCCTATGCCTAAAAGCCGAGTAGCTAGTCAACACCGATCAACCTCAAGACAGTATACGGGCACTGCATGTAAGCAAAATTTAAAAGCATTTCACCTGGTGCCTTTGCCACGACTAAACGCAACTTTTTGTACGGTACGTCCTGTAATACACTATACTAATGTTATATACTACATGTGGTATGTATTACAGAAATCACATTCTGGTGATTTTATTAAGATATGTATGGTAAGTAATACACTATACTAATGCTATATACTATATGTGGCATGTATTACTGAAATCACATTCTGGTGATTTTATCAAGATATGTAAAGTAATGTAAAGTAAGTAATACACTATACTAATGCTATACACTATATGTGGCATGTATTACTGAAATCACATTCTGGTGATTTTATCAAGATATGTAAAGTAATGTAAAGTAAGTAATACACTATACTAATGCTATACACTATATGTGGCATGTATTACTGAAATCACATTCTGGTGATTTTATCAAGATATGTAAAGTAATGTAAAGTAAGTAATACACTATACAAATGCTATACACTATATGTGGCATGTATTACTGAAATCACATTCTGGTGATTTTATCAAGATGTTGTGATCTGCACAAATATTTGATTCTGTACTCTTCAGGCCAAATATTCTTCCATGCAGAATACATACTACAGAACTGCAAATTCAACTTTGACATTTCATTGATGATTGGCTGTTTAAAACCTTGGTTTTAATAGAAATATTAACACAGCTTGCATTATAAGCATTTTATCTACATAACGAAATGCCTCATGTACAACAGCACCCCTTAAATTGTATAAAATTATGTCTAAGTTAATTCAAACATCTCTATGCATAGCAAAAAGAATAAAATTTTCATGTAGATTAATTGCTAGCAAGGACTTTGATTGCATACATTCCCTTCAAATGAGGTGCAGTGATACAATTTGGTTTTATCAACACTTTACAAATAACAGGGAGGAGATCCATACATAATTAACATGGAATTTATCAAAGGGATGTGAACAAACTATGCAAGGCAGCCACAGCAATTTAAAAAGGGGATAACTATGACACTTTGTGGGTGCAATTGTGAAAATCAGAGCCCTGAATTGGTAATACTCAAATAATCTAATAATCGAGTTCCCGAGTAAATTGCAGTTTGTGCATCGAATTAAACTGACCATTGACATTGTTGTGCACTATAGTGTTAGACCCTAAAACATAGGGCACACTATATTTGTATGATAGTGAGCACGTAATAATCTATTATGAGTCACGACACTAACATTGTCACATTGATTGAGTCTGCGCCATGCAGTGGCAGTGAGTGTGAGCCAAATCAAATGTTAGCTAGGGTTACGCCTTACGCCCGGTCCTACCGCCGGATACACACGTAAACATATAAATTTACAAGTGAAAACACAACAGCAAAAGTTAGCACAATGACTTAAAAGCACACATCATGATGTTGATACGACACTGCTTAGGCGTTGCAAGTAGCCCAACAAGGCTGTAACTTGGGCCGTAACTTCCCATTTTTTGAATCTAATTCTTTTGTTTACACACAAAGCATGTTTTCATACACTCTTAACGTATTGTACGTTAAAAAATTGCCAGTAGGGAATATATGACTCAGCATAGAATAAAACATCGAGATATAATTATATCGAATCGTTCACAATGCAATATTTTCAATAATTCAGAGGACCATACCAAATCACCCAAACCCATGTGTTCCGCCATTTTGAAGATGCATGAGATAACGTCCCAGCCAATCACAGTATGGGTTGTAAAATTCAACCTTTGACCCTCATATTGTTACCGGGCCTGCTATAGGCTACTTTTAAACTATAATTTTGAGTGCCCGCCGTTTTCAAGAAGACTTATTTGTGAGACAGCATAGGCGTGTAAATCGCTAAATCCCAAATTATAACGACTGATAATCGTACATGGCAGGTATTTTCATTAATTAGTAAACTATTTCAGCACCTACGTAAACTATTTCAGTACCTACACGGCTACGTACTGGGTTATTATATTAGTTACTGTCGGTGTTTATTCTGACGTTCGTTGATCATGTCAGATATGACGAGGGTAATTATGTACCGTACGGCGTACGTAACATTGGCTGTCAATTTGTCATTGCCATCGACTGTTAACAGTGTTATTATTATTAATTGATTATGTGTGATCGTATTTAGACCTGCATGCATGTGATTTATTGATTCAACTTTAAACCTAAAATGTTACAATGGTGCTAGAGTAGAGGTTCTATGATACATATTCCAAAACAACAAATATGATTATTTGTCAATATCTATTAGTATTACGCAAATATATACTATTAGTATTAGTATTATTACTATTAGTACTACTATTACTAGTACTAGTAGTACTAGTAGTAGTATTAGTCTATTCTGTATTCAGAGTACTACTACTACTAGTAGTAGTAGGCCTAGTACTAGTAGTAGTAGTAGTAGATACAATAATGTAACCCAAACCCAAGAGGATAGGACCCTATCCTCTTGGGTTTGGGTTACATTATTGTATCTATAGTAGTAATCCATATCTATCGTATCCATAGTATCTATAGTAGTATCCTAAAGTGGATTTGCGCCCTAGTGATTAACGTACAATACATGTACTACTACTACTATAGATACAATAATGTAACCCAAACCCAAGAGGATAGGGACCTACCCTCGGCGCAAATCCACTTTAGGCACCTTATGTATCACGAAGTGATGCACAGATTTCTGTGTATCATCAACTGATGCACAGATTTCTGTGTATCATCAACTGATGCACAGACTTTCTGTATATCAAGGAATGATGCAAAAACCCTAACCCTAACCCTAAGTCATAAAGTATAACCTTACTCCTTATACTTTTTATAGGTATCACGAAGTGTGTTAGGGTTAGGGTTGGGCTTAGGGTTAGGGTTAGGGTTTTTGCATCATTCCTTGATATACGGAAATTCTGTGCATCAGTTGATGATACACAGAAATCTGTGCATCACTTCGTGATACCTAAGGTGCCTAAAGTGGATTTGCACCCGTTACTAGTACTACGTAGTAAAGTACTACTACTATAGTAACCAATATTTCAAATTTCTATTTATTATTAATATTAATTATTTTCTATCACTATCAGTTCTATTGATTCGATTAACTTGAACTTTGTCTCGCCGTCTTCGTAATACTATTAGTATTACTATTACTAATACTAATGGTCTTGGACTCTTGGATATCCAAGAGTCAAGACTTATTACTAGCTAGGCTAACACTGTCATAGCTCTAGTACTATAGCCCGCTTTCATTAACTGCCGCAGACACCTACGGCAGCGGTTACCAGCGGTTCGATCATTACCTGCGGCAGTTAATGAAAGCAGGCTATAGTACTAGAGTAGAGCTATAACATTGTCAATGTATGTCTGTGTGCTACTAGTATTACTACTAGGGTCTTTGTGCGCTGTTGATATTCCTGTCTCCCCAATTTGGTTTGATTATTCTGTATGAGAACATAACACGTAACTAGCTCTACCGGTGTATAGCCCCTTTGCTCTCGCTATACACCGATAGAGTTACGTACGCACATCCACATGCAGATAGGTGCACTTACGTACCTTGTCACTATTTCACGTGTAGGGGGACATTGGCAACTTTAAGACTGTAACATAACACATGCACATTTTTTTGCATCTGTACATACTACATATTAGTGATGTCACGGTCATTGGTTGAACAGTGGCTCAAACCAAGCGCTTGGTTATCAAAATCCATAATCGATTTCATCTGGAAAAAAAATATCAAAATAAATGTAAAACTTGAACAAGAAAACTTGGAAAAGTGATGAGAATCAGAGATATCATCGCTACTATACAAGTTATCCTTTATAAAACATACATGTATTATACACACAGTAGTAAACATTGCAAAACAAACAGTAAACAGGGCTATAAACAAGCACATACATGCACACACGTACATGCACATGACGTCACGCATACGCAGGCATTCAACACCCCGAGTAACCGATTGTAACCGATCGTCGGTTACTTGGGTCCAACCGATGATCGATTACGAAATTACAACCGATTGACAACACTACTACATATATGCACACTTGCACACACGCACGCACGCACCTTGCACACACACACGCACGCACACACACACACACACACACACACACACACACACACACACACAC